GAAGAGCTGCGCAAGCTGTGCATAGCAGCTGGTGTGTCAATTCGACTCGATGTGTTATTGAGCGGCAACAAGTGGGACCAAATGAAAGTGGACACCACGCAATGGAATTCCAGGAGGCCGGCATGTCGATGCCACATATAGTCACCAGCCACGAAGTTACAAGTATCGGCGAAAAGCTGTGAATTGGCTATTGCAAAGTGTCGTGACCAAACTGATTAGAAGGACTTGGGTCCACGACCGGAAGTTGTCCGAAGTCGACCCTTGTTCCAGCTGAACGTGCAGAGACTCCACAAGGCACGAGATCCACGACCGAGAGTTGTTCGAAGTCGATCCTGTTCCGACTGGGTGTGCAACTATATCTGATAACCGACAAAACAACATGAGTTGAACTGTGGGTAATTTGTTTTGTTTTTCAAGTGGTGCATTTGTATGAGCATTGGTTGTCCTGATGCCAGGTTGGGACGTGCGATTTCGCACACTTCGGCGGCTCTTACTACCGGGACTAGCGTTTGAGCTCGACCGGCGCTGGATAAAAAAGAATCGACCGGGACTACCGTTTGGGCTCCGAAGTACAGTGCAACAGAATATACATTAATAGATTTGGTAATAACGTGATAATAGTATCATAATCATAATGTATATATATATAGATATATATATATATATTATATATTGTGTCATCTCATCATCATCTCATTTTGTTTCATCTTAATGTTTTGAATCATCATATATCATCTCTTCATTTCTTTAGTGCTCATTCATCTTCTGTTACTTCGCTTTTCTTCCCTTCTATTTGTTCTCTTCCGCCTACTTGCTTTCGGGCCACCCTGTCGTCTAGTTTTTGTTCATCAGTGATGGGTATAAAGTGACACTAGTACAACTATGCAGCATGTATGCATGCAGTCAAAGAGCAGCAGACGATACAACTTGTTCGTTTTGGTTGTCGTTCAACACTCTAATGGTGCATCCGTAATGTGCAACATACAATTTTGAGCCACAGCAACATCCAAAAAAACCCGCCAGCAAGAGGGAGGGAGGGAAGGAGGGAGGGAGGGAGGGAGGGAGGGCAAGAGGTGCTGTTGGAACTCTGAAAGAAATATATTTTGAGAGAGATGGAAGAGCTGACATGCCTTTTAGAGGCCTGGTCACTGCAAGAAACGACGAAGACTACAGGCTCGCAGCGCAGACTGCACTAATGTGGAAGCTTGGGACGTACAAATTTCATGAACTTACTTGAACATACTTAAACGGGCAAACAAGCTCTTTACACAGAATTCCAATCTGCACAGTATACTGTATCTATTCCATCAACCTTATGTACAGAAATCAGGAGTAAACACGTCCTCAAGAGGAAACATTTTGTATAACACCATCGAGAAGATTCCTGGGCATGTAGCATGCCACAGGCCGTCCGTGCTGATGCTGAAGCTAGAGCACAATTACAGAGTCGACGTCTTCAGGGAGGCCGCCTGGGTGCAACAAACTCCGGCAAGAAGCAGTTCAATGACCAACTTTGGTAGCGTAACGGTTCGGGGAGCCGGCGATGCGGGGTAGCCTACGTAACTGTTTCAGAAAACCAACAACCTTATTCCAGTGGCCTCACCCGGACAGTGTTAATAATGAACCGTCACAAGATATTTTCCGGGGTATTATGTACATGGTTCCAAGGTTTTGCCAGTGTTCCTTCCCACGCCTAATGGTAAACGACCTTTTCCATCTCCATTCCAGGAAGTACAGTTACAGCTTCAGCCCCCAGACAAGAGATCCTGACAAGCCCAAGCATGGAGGAGTCTCCGAAGTATCTCTGCAAATCTTTATGAAGCATATGCCTGCTCAAGCGGCTACAAGTGTAAGACGCCTTGGTTTCTTGCACGCTCATGTCCCCATGTGTCTCCCTGTCGTTCCTGGCCAACATAAAGAGCATAAATATGCATAAATTTAACATAATTTAACCATTGTTGCAATAGTACCAGAACAACACCAGGGATCCAGGCACCATTCTACGCTAATAGCACTCTTGCCAGATCCCCTGCCGATTCTTGCTCTTCAACATCTGGATGATCTTGATCAGATAGCTCCTGAAAAGCTACACGTAATTGTCAAACGAGCAGCATGTCGCAAGAAACCTTTATGCTCAATTCGTTTCCCCCGATGAATGCTCCGAATTGTGAGCCAACATGATTTTGGCTTCACCTTTTTACCGATTCTCACTTGTGTTTCAGCAGAGTTGTGGTACCATTGAGGGTACTCTCATTTATCTCTGCACTTGTACAGTACATGGGGTTCCAACTTCAGATTTGATAGAGGACCAACCTTTTCCAATCTTTTCCAACCCACTTTGGCGAGGGGGGAAGGCAGCGTGACGGGTGCGCGATTGTGTCACGAGCTTTTGGTAAAGTACCCATTCGTCTTCTGGTGGGTGCTAGATGGCGAAGTGTCGCTTTCAAAACGTTCGACGTCCCGTTTCCAAAGCGTCAAAAACAAAAATGTACGGATCCCCACTATTTCACAGTATTCCGTATTCCACAGACTCCCTTACAAAGTACGTGCAATGGTTTTTGGCCCTGCCTTCAAATCCACCGCTAATACTTGCAAGGCGACACGCTTCGCAAAAAACAAATGGACTGTAAGTGAGTACTGTTTGTTGCAAACTTGCTTAAGATCGATAAGATCGAACCAAATCAACAAAAACGCTTCGTCTGGAGTGGTGTGAGCCGAACACTCTCATTAGGTCAACTTAATTGGCTTTGTGGCCATAAAAACGGCTGTCGAGACGAGTTCCAACCAAAGGTCACGTCACGGCCAATGTTGCTTTCTGCACCCTCAAAGAACTACAGTCAAAGGGTTGACTAGCTGCAAAAATGGCCCCTTCGCTAGGCTAAAATTGCTAAAACAAAAACAATGCCTGCGGGACCAGTGGAGAAGTTGAGAAGCAGTGCGACACCATCGGGTCCAATATTTTTGTTGATCCCTACAAAACTGGTCCTCAGTCTGAAGCACATGCCCAAACCAGGTCGAACCAGCCTCAGATCAGGTAATATCTCCAAGGGCACTGCCTGAGTCACTACCTTTTTAACTTTTGGAATGTTGGGAATGTGTCGAGCTGCAAACCCAGCAGTTACGGTTTCTCATTGTGTGCCTGCGCTTTGCATGGCATTTATGCCCTCCTGACCTCTTGCCTGTCAGCAAAATGGGGCACTATATTGCATATTTATATATATATATATATTAATATGTTATGATCTCAAACTCATGGGCATTAGCCACCAAGCTGCCCAAGCTGCGAGATGAAGACCTTTGGGTACTTGGAGACGTCTTCCTCAGAAGGCCTGGTCATTCTTTCTCATTGGACATATCGAAGAGGTTGCTTTGATCGATGTACTTTGCTTCAAGGATATAAAATCCATAGAATCATTACACAATCCTATGTTTCAGAAGCAGAACTTTGGCCTGCCAAGCGGATGTTTGCTCTTGAAAGCCATTGTGAACATTTAAGAGTGCGAGGCACCTCGTGGCCTTTGACTTTGAGAATTCCAGGTTGGGCTTCGCAGTTGAAGAGGCCCGGCATGGCCGGCATGGCTGAGCAATCACGAAGCAGTTGTTTGCAGGTTTAGATATAGTTATTTGCTTGATCATCTTGATATCTACAGGTACATCAACCTATAATATGAACATGTTGAATTCTACCTTTTCTTTGGGGGAGAGGGTTGGCTGCAGCAGCATGCAGAGATGTAGGCTCAGTCTATCTCAGTCCTTGTACTGCTTTTAGATGGCACATTGCAGGGTGGGTGGCAGAATAGCATCCCGTCCTGTGAACTTGCAAGTCATCAATGAATGTTGCTTCTGTTTGACATCCTTCTCTTGTTTGGCAGGCATCACCAGAAGATCTGGCAAACCGTGTCGCAGCCAAGGGGATTTTCTGGGGCCTTGAGATGAGATGGATGAGTTGGACAGGCCCAGCGTTGAGACTAGAATCAAGATTTGTTGGCCTGCCCAAGACGTTCTATTCGACTGTACGTGCAACTGCTTGTTATTCACACCGCTTTGCGGTCGAAGCCGCCCGCACAGAGTAAAGGGAAAAGGGAAAACAGACACACACGGACAGACATAGACATCCATCCATGCATACAGACATACATACATGCGTACATACATCCAGACATACATGGGAAAAGTGTGTCATTAGCACCCTACCGGCACGGCAGCAACCTGCGCTCGCGGAGCCGGGAACTAGCAACTTGTGCTTTCGGAGCCAGGAGGAAATGTTAACCGGGCTCAAGCGTGAAGAAGCGTTTCGCTATGGCCCTATCTAATCACCAGCCTTTTCACAGAGGGTTCTGTCTCGGTCTCGGTCTGTTTGTTTCGGTCTCGGTCTCGGCCTGTCTGTCTCGGTCTGTTTGTTTCGGTCAGTCTGTCTCGGTCGGTCTGTCTCGGTCTATCTGTCTCGGTCCGTCTGTCTTGGTGTGTCTGTCTCGGTCTGCCCATCTCGGTCTGTCAGTCTGCGGGCAGGACACGGCCGAACACACCCACGATGTCAATAATGCAGTAACCACCGGGTTGCACATGCCCCCGCGATGTCGATAATGCGGTCTCTGCCGGCCGGCATTGCCGGCATCGCCAACGTGGAGTCCAAACACATATCAATTCTTGAAAGTTTTGTAAAGCGCATCACTTCTAAGCTATTTAATCTAGCAGATTTTTTGCGACTGCTTTCAAAGCCGCCGCAACGCCCTCGGCACCTTCTTGTGGCGTGAACTGCTGTGGAAGAATCGGATGGCCAACGATTTCTCTTTCGCTCAACCTCCAAATGGCTTGCCGGAGCTTGTTTTGCTAGATCTAGACGGAAGCAAGGGGAGGAACTAGAGTTACTTACTACCAAGTCATGGGGGTTGGTCCCTACAGATTTTTCTGCCAAGGTGAAGCAGAGATGGCCCAGGAGGATGCAGAGGGAGGCTCAATCGAGGCGGTTGATGATAAATAAGATCAAAAAAACGACATTTTGATTGGGTCCTATGTTTTTTTCTTTTGTTTCTAGAGACTCAACTGCTTGCACTTGATTCTTGGCACTGTCTCCAGAACATGTACTAGCAAGCCAGCCCGCGTTTGTGCACTTCTACATGCACAGTGATATATATATATATATTATATATATAGTACTTTTTGCCGCTTGCACTGAGCACGTGAGTTCCTTCATTCAAAGGCACTTGTGCAGCAGTCTACCAGTTCTTTGGATGTTTCATTCATCACAGAGTCCTCAGACTTGGATCTTGAGTCGAGAGCAGTTTCATCAGCCTTTGGAAGGAGAAAATGGAGTCGAACAGTTCAATGAGGACGATTAGCTCTTGAACGCATTCCAACTTGTCAACGATTACATTTTCCATCATTTTCCAACGTGGAACAGTTCAAGAAGTTCAAGATAATATTTCCAGGAGGTTGACAGGTTCGGGTGGACCATAGTAGATGTCACTCGTGTCACTTGTCAATGGAATCAAACATAAAGAGTTGCTTTGGATTTCTATTTAATTTGTTGCCCAAGCGAACGAAGGATGGTGCTGGCCAAGTTCCACCCAATGAGGCAGAACAGCTGATGACATGATGTCATGATAGATGCGCCCCTCCAATTTTTCACACTGTGGCAGCGTCGCTGTTGGACCATTTTTGACTATAGTTGAAGTACAGTGTTTGAAAGCTTCCAGTATGCTCATTCCCAATTCCAGAAACCCACTTGCTTGGGTTTGCTTACTTTCTTGGCCCAAGCAGTTCTGTCTTGGTGGCTTGGCTGACAGGTTCCCAATTCCAAAGCTGCACAGACATGATGACCATAGAAACGGTAATTATGTGCTTACAGATTCACAGACATCACAGACCAAGGGTTTGGCCTTGTAAGTTTTGCTTAAAACATATTTTTTATAATATAATTGCATGCAGTTTGTCAGTGTCTCTTAGCACGTTTTAGTGTCACTGGACAACTTCTTCGGAAGCCTCGTCACCCTGATAAAATTTTGTATAAGTTGCAGCAACACGGTGAATTGCGCTTGCTCTGCCACTGCCCTGCTGCTTCCCCACCCCTCAAAGTCCACCGAAGACAAGCATACGCAATCATACGTATCTATATAATTCATGTTATATATAAGTATACGCACAAGAAGACCCTGGAAGTGCCGTTTGCATCACGGTCCACAAGCCTGATCTTTGGAGAGCTCGATTTCAACACGTCTTTGAACAGGTGTGGCAAGGAGGTGCGATGGGCCAAGCAAGGAAGCTCAGTCCATTGTGTGGGATGAGATGAGATTGATCCTCCAGCGCCGTATAAGGCCGCAGGCTCGTAGCGCCGCTTTGATGTTGCTTGTTCATTAATGGAAATTGTGTGCACGGGACTTTAGTTGATTCGGATTCGCTAGAATCGAACGCATGCCTGTGCTAGCCAGTTGAGGCTTGCGCATCCATTCACAGCCTCATTGACCACCTTGAAAGGGCATGAGTGCTCTTGATGTTTTCATACCAGCCATTTTTGCTGAGGGTGCTGCAGATCACCCACCAGAGGTGGTCTACGATGAGGCATCGCCAATATTGTGATTTTGCATTGAACCTATGTCATGTGAATGCTTGAAAGGAAATATTGGAAACTTTAGGCTATGCCTGCTTCTGGCTTCTTCACAAGAAAGAGGCACAGAGGCACTTGTGTGTCAAGGAATTTGGCTCGGAGTCTAGTGTTGGGATGAAGACAGTGCGTGGGAGCTTAGTTTCTTCACGCAAACCTGAAGGACACATCTTTGGTGTTGAAACTAGAACTTGGAACACCGTCAGGCTTGTCTATGTTGTGTGGGCACAGGCTTTCTAAAGGCCTTGCATCAAACAGCAAGCTGGTACTATCGACATTGTGTAGATTTCCACTGATTTCATCTCCTTCTCACGATCGAATGTAGTACCCGAGGTTTGCTTTTTAACCGAATGCGACAATTTGTTCCATGGCCTTCTAAGGCTGGTTGCCACAGCCCTTGTCATGGGCAGCGGTCTTAGGTCCAGTCACCAGACCAGTGCCCGGTTTAGACAGGAGTTTGCCTTGCTTCTATATTGGAAGCCTTCGGACCACACGCTTTTGCTATCCATCTCTCTTTGTCTCTCTCTTTCTTTCTTTCCTTCCTTCCTTCTGTTTGTTTATCTTTCTTTCTTTCGTTCTGTCTTTCTGTCTTTCTGTTTGTTTGTCTTTCTGTCTGTTTGTCTGTCTGTCTGTCTGTTTGTCTGTCTCCCTCTCTCCCTCTCTCTTTGTCTCGCTGCGTGCAAAGGAATTGATCAAACATTGTCAGGTCCTGGGATCAGTATTGAATCAGTGAATATCAGTGATGTCATATCCTAAAATTCAGGCGGTTTAACTCAGGCTGCCTGGCATCAAAAAGGGCTGAGTAGTTTACACATTTAAAAACACACCTCCCCAAAAAAAACAACTAAAACTAAACAAGATGGAGCCCACGAACCCGAATGCAAACACGTTCGAAAAGCTACATATGTCCAAATGACACTCTTGTAGGACACTCTTGTGGGACACTCTTCTGGGACACTCTTGTAGGATACTCTTGTGGGTCACTCTTGTAGGACACTCTTGTGGAACACTCTTACAGGACACTCTTGTGGGACACTCCTGAAAGGCACTCTTGTAGGACACTCTTGTGGGACACTCTTGTAGGACACTCTCGTGGGACACTCTTGTAGGACACTCTTGTCGGGCACTCTTATGGGACACTCT